TCCAATTATAAAAAGAGTTTGCAGACCATTTAAAATTAAAACATTTGGAGGCAGAAGAAAATTAACTGCATGATAAATCTGTGCAGCAGAAAATGATTTATCGATTCTAATTTATTTTCTTATTGAATTAAATAAAATATATTAAGTTTATTTTTAATTTATCTGCAGCTGCTACAAAATAAAAGCTACCGCATTCAACAGATGGAGAATGTTGGGCTCCTGCTGAAGAATTCAGGTCAAGTTTGCCTTTCTGGGTTCTTCACAGACTATTTCCATTAGCAATGCTTTTCTACTAATTCCACTGGAAAGACCTGGATTTTAAGCTTTATGAATTGCCACCTCTGATATTCATCTGGAAGAGGAATGCACGAAAACATCAGCTGTGGTTTCCACTGAAGTCTAAATTAGATAACTCACAAGTTGTATTGCCCTGCTCCAATCTGCGATTTTCCTGGCTTCCCTAGAAGCACACTAAGGGCCACTCTGCATTATGATCAACTGGTGCAGAAGAGGATATGTAACCCTTTCCCCCCAGCATTTTTGTTCTTGAAAGCTCATACTCCTTGGCAGGCAATGCTTGGATATGGAGGTCTGTACTGAACCAAGGTCCAGGATGAACATATTAAAAAAAAATCAAAGGAATTTGGGGAAAACATTAGGTTTCTCACATCACAAACATAATCCTGATATCTTAAAATTATTATTTTTAAAATGACTAATTGCAGCAGTTATATAATTTGCACGTTGTTTAGTTTTGCTTTGCAGTTTCCATCCACTTTTTCTGAATGGCTTTGGAAAATGCATATTACCTCCTGACTTTAAAAAAAAAAATCCAGTCAGAAAAATACATGTGCATTGCCATAAAGGGCTGATTTATGCTTATGACACATGTATGTCAGTTATCAATTTAAAAACTTTACACTGTATATTTCAATTGAATTCTCTTTCAATCTATTACATTATGAATTACATTTCCAGACCTATTTGGGGGGTGGGGGGTTGAAGTGAAACTAATCAATCTCATTGTATATATGTTGTGCACTGACAAATAAATAATTCTAATTTTAATTTTTGTTCACCTTTAAGATGTGTCTTTCACAGGAAATTGGAATTGGCAAAAGATCTGGTGTTGAAGACTACCAGTTTTACATCTCACTCTAGCTATCAATAAAATATTTTTTTCCAACACAAACTGGATAACACAGTAATGGCTAACCTTTTTATCAAGGTGTGCCAAAAACGGAGGGCGCATGGAGGGGAGTCGCACGCATGCATGCCCACACCCATAATGCAATGCCCTTCACCCTGCGCATGTGCACAGGCCTCAATGAAGCCTCTGGGCTTCTGGTTTGCATGTTGGGCCATTTTTTACTCTCTGGAGGCTTCAGGGAAGCCTCCTGAAGCCTCCGGAGGGAGAAAAACATCCCAACACGTAAAACAGAAGTTTGAGAACAGACTTCCAGGTTGCCTGTTGGGCCATTTTTCTCCCTCCGGAGGCTTCAGGAGGCTTCCCTGGAGGCTTTAGGAGGCTTCCCTGAAGCCTCCGGAGGACGAAAAAAAAAAAGTTCAACGCACAAATCGGAAGTCTGCTCCCGAACTTCTGGTTTGCGCTTCATGAAAGCCTCGTGAGGGTGAAAAACGGCTGAAAATCAAGGCCAAAAAAGAGCTGCGCTGGAACACTGTAGATGGAGGGCTGGTACCTGTACTGTAGTTTGTTATCAGACATTGATCTGATAGATTACCACTAGGGATGGGGGGGAATCAATACAGTATATTTCATCACTATTTCATGTGTAAACTTGTGTAAACTTCAATGTACCATTCTGCCAAAAATATTTGTAAAGCTTTCCACCAAAATGCACACATTAGCACATATTTAAATATATGTTTATATTTTCCTCATAAAATATTTATAGAGGCATTATCTGATAAACACACCTCTAACCGTATTTGATCATAAAGTGCAGATTTTAAAGACGGTTAATAGGTTTTTTTTTAAAAAAATGACGACTGAAATTCAGGGAAACACAAAATCTGAAGCAATGGAATGGAAAATGTTTGGGAAAGGGTTCAGGAACCATATGTTCCCGTCTTCCTCTAGAGCAGGGAAATATCTTTTTTATAATGCAGAAGTGACATAGCAGGGGAAATGCAGAAATCTAGCAATTTTCATTTTTGTTCTGATTGGTTGCAGCTTGTAGGGCAATCCTGCACTCAGGATTGCTCTGCCAAAGGAAGAAATGTTAAGTTCATACAATCTTCCTTCCATAACCTTATCAGCCCTTTGTCAGCTCAGTACATGTTACTCAAACTGAAAGCCCATTCAGAGAGTAATGAGAGCAATCTCTTCAGATATGAGCTCACCACAAGTGCTCCCAATTTCTATATGGCACATCTGTCAAAAAGACAGAAATGATTGAACAGGTCAGAAAAACGAATGTGAAGGGATAGTAATGCTAAGATTTAAAGATTTTTTAAAAAAATCAAAATTTTGATTTTATTTCCTAATTTGCTATGGCTAAAGAATAATATCCATATTCATAGTGCAATTAATTGGGACATATATATTTTTCAATCTAATTTTTATACAGATTTACAATATTCATACCCTTCAAGCTTTCTGGATGTAACTAACACTGTCCTGAGTTCAATGAAAATTCACAAGGAAATAAAAAGACATAAAATGCATATATTAGGTAATAATGAGCACAAAAATGTGTTTATTGGAATAAATATGCACATAAGCACATAATATTATGAGAAATTGGTTGGAGAAATACAAATACCAGGAAAGGTATGCAGAAACATGCATGCAAGAATAGAAATCCAAACAAAAAGCCCAATAATTTTAATACAAATTTGGGATGAATTATTTGAACTTTTTAGGAATCATCCAGACTGGCAGGGTGGATGGCTAAAACACAGGGCTAGAGCCACTATGCAACTCTAAAAGGGTCAGAAACAGCCCCCGCTGAATTCCTTGGAGCCTTATCTAAGGTAATTATGCCCAGGAAAGAACTACCAGACTAGGGAGATTCCTGTATTATATGCAGACTATAATAAAGTAGTTAGCTCAAACTCTGCACATGTGGGCCTGGTTGTTCGTGCCTGACAAAACTTAAAAAAATTGAAAAACCCATTCTTGACGGGTTTAGTTGTCTCAAAGAAAATGATTTCTATAAGAGGACTTGAAATGTTAAAATGTTGTATAGCCTTTCAAATGAATAGGAAGAGTTTAAAAAATTGATGTGTGCTGTCATTTTAGTTACATTGATATCAATTTACTCAAGAGATAATCCTAATAATTTTTAAGAAATAACTCAGATTATGGGATCTAACCTTAAATAGATTTAAAAATATAGTGTTTTTGCACAGCTTGAAAGTGAATAGGAAAACTTTCATTTCCCTCTTCCTTCCTTTTTCTAAAAAGAAAAAAATGTGGTTTTTTTTTTACAAAAATCTTAAGCAGTTCAAATTGAAGATTTGTATAAAATTTTCAAAATTCTGTAAATCATTAAAAAGATACATCATGCATGCTAATAATATGTTTTGTCTACCATTTCCCTGTATGAATCCTGATGTTTTCAAAATGCCACCATTTGTGCTTAAAAGAAAAGCCAAGGTAGGTAAAGACGCAGTCTTGGGAGAGGTTCAACATTTGAAGAAGAAAAAGAAAAAATAACCCAATATGGAATGGAATTTCAAAGGGAAGGGAAGTTCAAGTGAAGTTGAAAACAGCTCATTTAGGACTGACTTTCCATTCTACTCACCAAAATCTGGTTGGCTGACTACAAAGATGAGGAAATGAACATTAGAACCTGTGAATTGGAATATTTTTAAAAAGAGAATGGCTGGCTGGAACCACAAGTAAGAACTAAATCACTTGGAAAAGAAAGCAATGAGAAAATGGAATGTGTTGGGTGGAAGTGGATAAGTAAAAATATCCATCTAAGAGAGAAGGAAAGAAGTCCAGATTGAGTCCAAAACTGGTAATCAAATATTAATTGTGCCCTAACTATATGTGTCCTATTGCATTCAACTAGCTACTTTGTTGTTGTTTTTAATAAGCTAGATAGGTTTTTAGAATTTATAAGAACCCTTACCCTCAGGGATTCCTCTTGGAGATTGGCATCAGACTGCACAAAGTTACGTAAGTCTTTTTTAAATTATACTTTGGATTTTATCTCCTTGTTATATATGTTTCTTTTAACCCAGACTTTCCCAACCTTTCTACTTTTGTGCACTGGTAGGTGGGGGAAGAGGGGATGGTTCCATTAGAGTGATACAAATGGAGCACATACACTCACCTGCTGCTCACACATTCACCACTCGTTCACCACTTCTGCAGCCTGCTTCTGATTGGCTCAAGGCCTAGTAGTAGGCCATGACCTGGGGGCTAGGGACCTCTATTTTAACCCACCCGAAAACAGCCCTGAGACTGGTACATGAGGAATAAATGGATGGATTAAAAAATAAATAAATATACATTCCAGAAACATACATCTCACAGAAGAGCCAGCAAAATGATTGGCTGGCTGGCTGATGATGTCAAAAGCATTCAGAGAGATCAATCCTCCTCATGCCCCCATTTTTCCTCATTCATTGCACATATTGTAGAGAGAGAGATAAATTTCATGTAACTCAAAATCTATGTTCCCCAAATTCTGCCTACCCCTGTCCCTTTCTCATTCCAATTCTTGACAAATTTTCTGATTAGATTTAAGAATCTGAAGATGTGAAGATCTGTAGATGGGGCCTAATAGGCGCTAACAGACAAAGTTAAGAGGTTTCACATTTTTGTTCCTATGCTGGAAATGTTTTTGTAGTGAAATTTGTTCCTAAAAGAATTATTATTTTAAAAAACTAGACATCAGTAGATCCAAGAGGAAGACATCCCCCCTCCTTCTCATAACTATGGATTAATTCTTTCTAAAAAGGGGAATCTGAATTCCTTCCTGCACTTCAAAATTTCTTAGTGACCTCCTCCTGATATTGTTTACCTTTATGATCAATTTTTTCTCTGACTGCCAGGACAGTCTCCTTTTTTTCTTTGGCTTTTGATGATGTAACTTCCGCTGCTTTGATTTCCTTGGTCTTTAGTCGTTCAGGTGCCTTGGCCTCGGGTTTTTTTTCTTTCACATCTTTTTTTATCTTTTCTTCAACTTGGATGCTCTTTTTATCTGCATACAACATAAATATTTTAGGTTCAAAAGTCACTTTTTCACAAATCCCTGCCATATGGCATTAAAAATATCTTCAGTACAGCTTATGAAGTTTTTAAAAACCACAGTGTCATTATTAACCATAAGTGGAAAGCATAAAGGACAACTGTTTTAAGCACACTGTTTAAACAGCACCTAATTCTTAGCTCAAATAGCTACAGATTTTTTAAAAGCAATTTCAAGAGAATAATGCCTAGGTTTTTTTATTTGCACTTGGACACACTTGTATTTAATGAAATATTGTTTATCTAGTTTTCTGAGTAAAACAAAACAATAGCATGACAATAGCAAAATACTAACACAATCAAACAAGATTTGCTAAAGCATGCACAAGGAAGATGGCTGCCTGAGCTTTGCTGCTCAGGTTTCGAGAGGGAAAAAACGGCCAAAAAATAAACAGAGCCGGAGCCTAGGAATTGCAGTGAAGTGAAGAACTCTTCAAGAACAATACAAGAGGGTTTTGGAGAAGCGGCTACCTGGAAGACCGTTGCTCTTGGACGGTGCTGCTCTCGGACGATGACTCCTGCTCCAACCACCACGACCTCGGCCCCGCTGCCTTGGGGAGCCTGGGCCAGGGTGCCTGTGCTCCACTGTGCTCTGCTGCCTCGGAAAGCTGGTGAGTCTGTGTTGGTGTGCCTTAGGACTAGGCGGCCGGCCTCCTCTACCACCACCGCTGCCGCCCCGGGCGTGCCCCTCCCCTCTTCTGCTTCCACCGTGGCCTCTCTGCCTCTCTACCACCACCGATGCGAGGCTTCTCGGGCGACACCGTCACGGGGCCTTCTCTGCCCGACACTTTGGCTACTGCGGCCTCAGTTTTCTTCAGATCCTGCAGCCAGCTTCCTCTGCCGTCGCCACCGCTGCTGTCCGGGCGTGGCTCTTCACGCGGCACCACCCTCTCCGGCTGCCTCGGCCTCTGCGCCGCCATTCCGGGGAGCTGGTGTGCCCTGAGATCGAACGGCCATCTTCCTCTGGCGCTCCTGTTTCTAGACGCGGCCTCTTCTTCTCCTCCGCTTTGGCCCCTTGGACAACACCGCTGCGGGGGCCTTCTTTGCTCGCCGCTCCGGCTGCTGCAGCGGCCATGGGAAACTTTTGCCATGCCGGCTGCCTTGCGTTCTGTCCTGTGACTCACAGCCATCACAGAGGGAGCGGACGGGGGACGAGAAGGACGGGGACGGGTAGCCTGCCCCCCTCCAACTGGCACCAACTCCCCCAGCTGCCTCAGACTTTCAGACATTCTTCCAGGCCCCGCAGGAGGGAAGAATGAGGAACCCTTCCCTCCCAAACTACCACTGGCCCCAGCCACTTCGAACGTGCACTGACCATTTTGCGGATTTAAGAACTGTGTTTTTAGCCAGTTTGCTGAGTGTATGAATGTATGAATGTGAGAGAGAATGTGCCCACTTTTTAACTTAATTAATTATTGCATTATTTTACTGTATTTTAATGATTCTTGTGGGGTGTGTATGAGGAGAGTGTCTGATTGGTGCATATGATAGTATCGGGAGTGTGACCTGGAGCCCCCTCCACTGAGTGCAGAAGCAGAAGTGGATGGGGGCCCAGATTCGTCTCCCATCCTGGAGTGAATGGTGTGTGTGGCCTGCGGGGAAGAATGGGGGCCATGGGAGAGGGGGGAGGGTCTACGGGGATGGGGGAGGGTTGGAACATTTCGGTTACGACCAGGAGGGGCAGATATGACAGGAGCTGTAGGGCTAGCCATTACCAGGGAAGAAGGACTCGCTACAATACAGCGATTACTTGTTCCAGCCCCTCAGGCTCAACTCAAGAACCTGGTGGCAGAGGAGATCAGGGCCCTGGTCTCAGGTTGCTGTTGCTAAATGCCAAGTCTGTGATAAACAAAGCTCCCCTCGTCCGGGACTTAATATTAGACGAGGAGGCAGACCTGATATGTATAACTGAAACCTGGATGAGCCAAGAGGGAGGAGTCCCCCTCTCAGAAATGTGCCCAGATGGGTTCCAGGTGCTCCACCAACCACAACACCAGAGAAAGGGGGGGGGGAAGAGCA